ATGTATATATATATATATTATATATGTGTGTGTTGTTCTGTTAGTATATTTGAAACACTTTCGTCATACAATTGATCACAAAAGGTTGACAAAATTGCTTTCATTTTGAACTCAGAAATTACGATGCGACTACAAAGATGCTGTGGAAGGCTTCTCCCGAACACAAGTGAATATTCGCTCAAGCATTAAGTCGTATAAAAGCTCTATCACCGAATTAAAAAACTGGTAAGTTTCTGTAGCTGTAGAGGGTTCGTGCTAGGATATATGAGATTTATATATAGATATATGTGTATATATTTGGTTTCTAGCGTTCGTCCCATTGTCCACTGCTGCTTCAGTGTTGATTTAGCCTTGGAGCAACATGACCTGCAGTACCACAATAGCTACACCCCGTGCCGGAGGAATCTCAAACCTGCTCTGTGTTTATCCTTCTATAATTGACTTCGTCACCAAACATACCTCTATACCGAGAATGATCAAACCGAATCAGCTATTATTTCCATTTATTATGTTATGTTATGATATATTTTGCTTGTACCGTATTAACAAATTTTACGGGTGCGTTTCGATGATAATAAAAAAACACTGAACCCACCTGTACGATTCTACAGTATAGAGGATTCTGAACTGCCAGATGACCGAAAACAAAAAGTGCTGAAAGCCTTGAAAGACAAATCTCGTTTAGGTGCCGACATGGAGAAAATATTGCCCAAGAAATCAAGGTTTGTTTTGTTTGTATGGTGCGCATCGAGCTACTTAGCGATGTGGTGAAATATATTACTCTCATGCCACCCTGATTAGAGTGCTTGTTATTGACTTTTTTATTCTCGGCTTAGGACTCGTTCAATTGCGCCGTATTGCACGTGTACAGCGTTGTGGACTTTGTACTGGCTCTGTTCTTTCTTGCATGCTAGTGCTTCATGGTTGATACAATCATTCTCCGTAGTTTGCAATTGTCTCTATAGTCACCAGTACCTGTCTCTTGATTATAATTCTACCCAGTTTACTCCTTCAACTGGCCATCGGAGATGTCAACGTCACACTACCACGAATGGGAGATCGCATACTGTACAAAACTGCATACGAAGACTTTAAACTGCGGATGTCCTTCGTAGCTTTATCCTTTATGGGTAAGTGTCGTACACGTGGTCAACTAGTGAGATGCCGACTGCTGGCTTGTCAGAAGAGGCTGTCAGTGTCTGTGATCAGTTTATTACTTTGCAACGTGTTTTCTATTGTACACTATATTTTGTGTTTTGCTATATATTTTAGCGCTGTTTTTTATTCTCCGAGAGGAAAGGTGTAGTAGACGAACATTACATCGAGAGAACACACGTTCTATGGAATAAAAATTAATACATCATACCGTAGTACTTGCGATTCCATTTGTGCGACGATCCTCGTCGTAACATACTTTTGCATTATGATTCCGCCCCATTTATAGGTATGAGTCTTGTATTGAATTGGAAGGGGGTCGGTCACCGGCCGCTGACATTCTTATTCCAGGTGTTTTTGGTATGTATGTATCCAGGTGCGGTATTAAGGAGTATGCTTTTCAATACTAAAGAGGGTAGTGAGTATACTACCAGACGCTGTATGCAATATACTGTGTGCTTACCAAATGTATTTTTTTCTAGCTCATAGTAGTTTGTAAATTCGTCCGCACAGCTTTGTATTTTAATATGGGTGCCTACGAATGTATCTACGTGGTTTTGTATGCAAACGCACTTTTTAAGTATTGATCAGGCATACTAACATTGTGCATTGGTTGATATTCTTCGGTCTCCCAGGTTTGGTACTATTCCACAATTACATTACGAGAGCATATTCTCATCGCTAATGGGTCCAAAATCAGAAGTTGGTGGCTGTGGCACCATTATCTATCCATAATTGTGGTGTGTTTGCTGGTTATATGGCCGAATGGCTGGGCCATGCGAGAATTTTTACGAGGGTTTGAATGGTTCTGCTTCTATGTAGGTATGTATGTCCACTGCTATGTCTTAGGTTTTGGGTGTGCTCCTATGCAGGTTTTCGGGCATCTTGAATTGTGCGTTGTGATTTTCTACCTTCTTCCAAATTTCTTGAGGTGACACGATCCAATGGTACTACAAGGCCAAAAATTACATAGATGAGTTTCGGAGAAGCTTCGAACATTTGAATTCCAAATTGCACAGAGTACATGTTAATATGTCTTAGAAGCGGCATATTTCTGAATCCACACATTCGCTCAATTTCACCCGTATCGTGTCGTTGAGTGTTTTTACTGATGTGAGGATTTGTCCAAAGCGTGCGGGATGGTCATTTGTGGTTTGAGCTATATCATGCTTCAAAATATGCGACCGTGATATTGATCGTTGAGTTACATACTACTACTGTTTTCTTAATATGTCCACCTACGTATCTTATACAGCTTTCATCCAGCTGATGGAGTTTCAATACCAACGTCGCCGCATGTACACTTTGAATGCGCTCGGTAAAGAAGACAATATGCGGCCTATCGGAGAAGGAGTGTCGTGGAATTCCAGTCTGTCTGTTCTCGTACCGTTCCTTCTCTTTGGGCAAGTCTGGCAACTGTATCAAGGTTATGTGCTCTATGCACTCGCACGTGACCAGAGATGCCACGAATGGGTGGTTCCCGTGATGTCTGTGCTGATGCTGATTCTAGGAGTGGGTAACCTGTACACTACACTGACCAGCGCCAAGCAGAAGTTCGGTTTGTTGGCTAAGGCACGGGACTTACCCGAATTAAAGGTCGTCGACGCATCCGCGCACACGCCATAAAGCGGGTTCAGTCCAGCGCCGGTCTATTAAGGTCAAATACATTGCTCCTGATGGTTTTCTGCGTTGTTGAAGGCTTTATTATTTTTTATCGATAAAAACTGGTCGTGCTCAGGAGCATATTTCTCGCTGTCTCCGCCGAATATAACTTATACAAAGCAATACGTTATATAAATTTATTGCTTGGATCTTACGTAAATTTCATGCGCGTCCAGGCGATAGAACAATATTCTTGAATGACAAATATTGATCGCGCTCAGGAGCGTATTCCTCACTATCTCCGCCGAAAAAGGTCGAAAAGAACATGCCTGATAAACGTAGTTTTTCCGTTGTGCGATACACTATACGTTCCTTCATAACCAACTTGTTGTTGTGATATAGCTCAAACCAGCCGTCATTATCGCCGACAGTATTTAGCGTAATGATCTGTTTCAACTTATTCCAACTTCCGGCCTGGAAATTCAATACGCCCCTATTGAGTGAACAGTGGGTGGGGTCATCTCCCATATGACATTTGTCCTGTACATCGAACTGTTGCTCTTCAACAGGGATATACATGTAAGCCTCACCCTCGCCGTCTTCCCGCCACATTAAACGGGTAGAAAAGCAGTTAGTACCGTCGGAAGGCCTTTCTCCTGAACATTCCTTATCGCCACCGTACATACCTGGCAATTTGCCGCCCAATGTCCATTCAAAGTCCTCAGGGAAGTAGACTTCATATTCAAGCGTGGCCTCAAGGAGAACCGAGATTTCTCGCAGATGATGTGTGTAGAATTGGCTCCCGGAGTAACTCTTGGAAGTTCCGTAAGTATGACCCTTGACTGTAACCTCCATCACTTTTCCGTCACTATTAGAAGGGTCTTTGCGAATGAAACAAGTGTTGGGCTTGCTCGAGGCGCAATTACCTCCTTTCCTATATACGCCGAAGCACCCGTCTGTGGGCGCGTAGTAGTCTTTGTATATATCAGGCTTATCCCCCTCTTTATAGTTGCTGTAATCGACAGAGAATAGTGGTGCATTTTTCCTCACTATTGGGGCACCAAGTGCTTCTGCGACCAGGACAATACATACTAGTGATACACTCAACATTTTGATCAATTTGTTTTTTTTGTTGTGTGCGCTAGTTATGTTCACGCTATATATATATATATATATATATATATATATGTATATATTATATTAGTACGTGATACTAATTAGGTTACTAATACTAAATTAAAAAAACGTAACGTTTAGTACTAAC